CCCCCCCCCCCCCACCCTCCGCCTTAGAATTTTTTTTTTTATATAACTTTTTAAAACTTTTTTTAAAACTTTTTTTTTACTTTATTTTTTATTTTATTTAAAAAGGTAAAATTAACGTTCCCATCTTTGCTTTTAAACTATTTTTTTACAAGGAGGGGCCCGGACCCGTCAGCCCCTCCCCCCCCCCCCCGTGACTCCGCGCCTGCCCTTAGACGCAGAATTCTACTTGCTATTGGGGCCCTGTAACGTACTAGAGCGAAAATGTCGATCAATAATTTTAATATGGGAATAAAATCGTGTACGATAGTGTCAGAAAAGGTTAGGTAAGATTACACAAATTATTATTTCGCACTTTAATATAGATACAAATAGATTTTTTGAAAAAAATGTCAATAAGAGGTCCCACCGAGACTTGAACTCGGATCGCTGGATTCAAAGTCCAGAGTGCTAACCATTACACCATGGCACCGCGGATATCTAAGGAGGAATAATGCGGATTTTAACAGTTAAACCGCGGACTCCCTTGCAAGTGTGATCTTACAGTTATAATAATGCCTAAATTATATGGAGAAACAGATCTTTTGTGATTTAAATGATGATGCACTCCGACCCTCAATTTTACCAGCACCTATATAGTCATAAGGAAACATATGACATGAGAGTCTCAACTACATAGAAGTATCTACAAGTTTATCATTCATACATTTAAAACAAAACAACTAATTTGTTTGTTTGGGCTCAACGGGGGGGGGGGGGGGGGTAATGAACACTCCTTTTCCCTTAACATCCGCCACCTCCCCCCCCCCCCCACCACTCGAGCAAAATGAAATAGATGTCTCGTTTTAAATGCCTTTAATAATATGAATGATAAACTTGAAGATACTTTTATGCAGTTGAATCTCTCTCGTCGGAAACTGGTATAAAATTAAATATAAGTTTCCTCATGACTATGGAACTAATTTTGTACTCTTTTTTTTTTGGCCGGGGGAGGGGGGCGAGGGGCCATAGATAAAACTAAGTTAAAGGGTGTCTTCACAATTCTAAAACACTCCCCGCCAAGGGGGTGTTAATTTGAACACCTAAAACACTCCCTGTTTGCCAAGGGGAATGTTTGAACACCCAAAACACCCCTGGATATGCCAATGGCTATAGCATAATTATGCAAAGTAGCTTGACCTGGCCGCATCCCTCAACTCAGATACAATTATGAATAAGACAGCAGGACTTGCAGAGAAGAAAAGGAAAGGGGAGAGGGGAGAGAAGGAGCGTTGGTTTACTTTTAATACAATGAAACTATTATCTGCTGATTGAATACAGGTTCATTCATGGATGGATAAACGGTTAGGATAGGTCATGGAATCATTCTTACTTAATTCATGTCAATACCAGCCAATTGCACTCAACTCAACACAATGTGTATAATAAACATAATGCCTATTAACTTTTTACAAGCTGTTGGCATTATCTTATTCTTTTCTTCTTATTCTCCAATAAATTCGTCACTTTGTGTTTTATTTAGTTTGCTTCAACGTTCGGTCTGTCTTGTTCTCTTACATCTTAAACTGTCTGTATTCTTCTCTATTTTACCTTTTTTCCAAACGAGAATTAGTCCGGGATGGTATTACACAGTCTGAACCCTTTTTTTTTTATAAAACTTGTTATCAATAACAAGTTTCAATACATTACTGTTATAAGTTATGGCATATGATTGGCTGAGAGCAAGTTTGTAATAAAAATTTAACACTAGTTATTGATAAATTTTTTTATGAAACTAGGCCCTGCGGTGAATTAGAAAAAAGAAAAGAAAAATTGTGAAACAAAACTATATAATTATGCGGATTATTTCAATTCAAATCTTTATTCAACCTTTGAAAAGCAATTTACGATGACAATATGCAATATATAGTCAAGAAAGTGCTTTAGTGACCACCTGTCTACAAAGGCCACGTTTTTATTTCCCTTGAAAATAGTTTCTCATTGAAACATGTACTAAATGAACCCGTACATAAAGACCACCTGCCTATATACAAAGACCACTTTTCTCGTCTACCTTGGGTGGTCTTTACAGACAGGTTTCACTGTACAATAAGTAATGGTTAGGACCCCTAAGAAGCCGAATTCTGCTTGTAATCCCTGTAACAAACAAGAGAGAGAATATCGATTAATAATTTGTAGTGTGGGAATAAAATCATGTAGAGTAGATGTACGATAGTGACAGAATATGTTAGTTAAGATTACACAAATGATTATTTCACAATAAAATATAGACAAAAATAAGTAGTATTTTTGAAGGAAAAAAAAAATTAAGAGGTCCCACCGAGACTTGAACTCGGATCGCTGGATTCAAAGTCCAGAGTGCTAACCATTACACCATGGCACCGCGGATACCGAGTTGTGGGACAATAAGGGTACCAGTCTTAATCCGCGTTCTCGCCTTAGTCTGCAAGCACAAACCCTGGTCAGTCGTAAACGAGAGTCTGCACTATAAGACTACCATATGCCATGCACTGTAGCTGCTATTGACACAACCAGTAGGTAGCTGGGCTAGGCTTCTGTCAAAGCACAATGATTTCTTGATAAAGTGTCAAATTAGGGTCTGTGCTTGCAGACTAGACTCGCATGCAGGCGAGTCTAGTCTGCAAGCACAGACCCTAATGGCTGCATGTGAGATTTTACAGTTATATTACGTACATGTATTGAAAAACAGATCTTTTGTGAAGTAGATGATAATGCGCTCCTCCCCTCAATCATAGTAATCTTTAAATCAGTTCTCATTACATCGAACATAATTTTTTACTAGACTTAACCATATACTTCTGCTTTTCGTTATCTTTTTTCTTTTTTCTTGTTCTTTGTAAATAGTGTAAATAGTTCACTACACAATCTTTAGGAATGTTATTTGTCTTATTTCATATAAATTATTTGAAAGGTGTTGTAACGATTCAATCTCTATTTGCTTATGTTTCATCACCTTTGTGTGTTCATTCTTTAAACTTTACCAAGACTCTCAAGACACAATGATTTTTTGATAAAGTGTCAAATTAGGGTTTGTGCATCCAGACTAGCTGAAGCCTGCGTTGTGTGACGTGCCCCTTCCGCTGTTTCATAGACGATTGTTAGTCTGCAAGCACAAACCCTGGTCAGTCGTGAAAGAGAGTCTGCACTATAACACTGCCATAGGCCATGTACTAGGCCTATAGCTGCTCCGACACAGGTAGCTGGGCTAGGCTTCTCTCAAGGCACAATGATTTTTTGATAAAGTGTCAAATTAGGGTCTGTGCTTGCAGACTAGACGCTTTTCTCTTTTGCAGCCAACATCAAATTCTGTAGAACTTTGCAGGAATTGTATTTGTCATGTAGGCCTATGTCCTATCTGTGAAATGTAAACATTAGTAGTGTCCTATTATTCAAATTATGCAAGGAAACCCGTTTAACTCCTAGACTTCAGACAATATTGAGTGACTGACTGACATTTTGTTTTCTTCAATTGGTAATAATATACATAAAATGAGCTGTAGCAGCTGGTACGTGAGTATGTGTCTACACCAATAACCCACTACTTGTAATGGCTAAACTAACTGATCGAATCTTTGTGCAGCACAAAACAAAAAACCATTCGGTGAAAGGGTCTGAAAATCAGATTTTTACTTAGGTGATTGCAATAAATTAAGTCCATTCGACAACCAATGGTCGTTATTTTCACCCTAAAAGCCATTTTCAAACCCCTTCATTTTGAGGGAATTAGTTCTAAATTAATATTGTCTTTCAAATGCCGTTGGAATTAAACCTTTTCATTTTATGGCCTGCAAATAGGACATAGTACCTTAAAGGAAACCAAAACCTTCATACTAAGTTACTTTTATTGTAAAGTTTGAAAGATTTGAATAAAATCAGTGAAAATTTGAACAAAATCGGGCAAGGAATAAGAAAGTTAGAGCATTTTGAAATGACTAGTCACTAGAGGGCGGTATTCAATTTGATGCCATCATCTGTGAACAACTCTCCATGCCTTTTGTACATAAAATTTCACAATTTTTTTGTTTTCTTCGTATTTATTTGTGTTCTTGATCCGACTTCATAACATGTGGAGTAGAATATCATTTTGCATTCTATATCTTGCTTTCAGAGGAGTGCATTATCTCAATCACAAGAAAGAAGGAAAAACATGAAATTTGATGTACAAAAGGCATGGAGAGTTGACCACAGATGATGTCATCAAATTGAATACCGCCCTCTAGTGACTAGTCATTTCAAAAAGCTTTTACTTCCTTATTCCTTGCCCGATTTCGTTCAAATTTTCACTGATATTTTTCAAATATCTTAAACTTTACAATAAAAGTAACTTGGTATGAAGGTTTTGGTTTCCTTTAAGTGGAAAACACTCCGTCCCTCGGATGAGGACAATGGAGGCCCCGTGTAGAGGAGAGTCACTACCTTTGCACGTTAAGAACCCACTGCACTATTCGCATTAGTCTAGTTCTGGACCCTTTAAATGATTTTTTTTTTTTTTAATTCGCCGACTATAAGCGGAGTGATGGGGCGATCCTTAATGACGGCGCGCGCCATCACTCGGCTTAATGCTTATAGTCGGCAAATTAAAAAAAAAAATCATTAAAAGGGTTCAGAACTAGACTAATACGACTAGTGCAGTGGGTTCTTAACGTGCAAATCGATCCACTGACTCTATTTCCCCTGTGATCTTACGGTTTCTTACTTGGTACAGCCCATAGAGATATATACTTAATTAGTAGTTATATATCTCTATGGTACAGCCAGACTGACTGACAAGGATAGTCTATACTCAAGACTTCAGCATCAAAATAGAAGTCTAGCTAATCCCTCTGGCTAATCCCTATGGCTATTTGAGCCATAAGCTAATCTCATGACGCGCACACTTGTATTGATTGCGCGCTCCAACCATTGCGCTTGCTTAGCTAGCCTAGCCTAGCTATAGCTAGCCAAAATGCAGGCGATCGAGATACTTGTTCACATTTTCGACATGCGTGCTTTAATTCCCGGCCCTTGCTTATAATAGTAATACCTGGCTAAAAATAGGATGAGACTTTCACATTTTTGTCAACGGTGGACCTATCAAGCATGAAAATCGAATTTTCTTCATCATGACTTTGTAGGAGAATAATAATCGTTAAATATGTTACCCAGAATGGACGCCATTATAACAAGAAATTTCGTTATCATCCTAGCAGTATTCGTTTCTTTTATCGTCATCGTAAAGTGTTTACCAAAAGGGGAAGCTGATAAGGTTCAGGAGCGCGAGAAGGTGAGTGCCTACCACTCTCTTTCTTTATCTGTCTCTCGATCTCACTATCTCTCTCTCTTTCTGACTTCATGTCTTTTTCTCTATCTTTATTTTCTCGCAGGACTCCAAGGACTGTCAAACCATCTTCAGAATAGAAGAGGATACAATCACATTGCTCACGAGTTTACGTACCTCTCCCACTCTTTATGCCCCCACATCTCTCTCTCTATTTATCTCTCTCTCTCTCTCTCTCTCTCTGGGAGTAGATAATTATGTCTCGTCATCTCTGCCCTTCGGTCATTAGCTCCCCTTTTCTCTCTCTCTCTCTCTCTCTCTCTTCCCGCATGCATGTATCGGTCCTCTCAAGGACGTCGTTCCATTTCAAGAGGGCGGAGTTGCAAAAACTAGATGCGAAGCTTTGAAGCTCCATAGTTGAAGTACATTAATTAATTAAAAATGTTAACGATTTAAACATCTTCACCCCCTCTGTCCCTGCACTCCGCCATCCCTGTTCCTCTGATCTTCAACCTTGCATTTGAATATATATATTTTTGTTCTTGTTGTATTACAGAGACTAGCATCCACGCCCTGTTTCTCTCACTCCGACTGTCTCCGGACGCAGATCTGTGAGTGGAATCCAACTGTCGTCGAAGTGGTGGGAACCTGTGTCACTGCATCACTACATCACGGAAGATCAGATCAAAGATATCGAAATGATAGGGTATACATGCACATTGGAAATTTATAAAGACTCTCTTAATGCAAATAAATGGATCGAAATCATCAGACTACTTGGAAGTTGTAGGAGTCATAGTAAGGATCACTTGGTTTTGGAGTTAAATCCACTCTAACATTAATGATAGTGGAATCTATGCCTAAGAAGTGGTTCGAATTACTCTTTTGAGGGTGGATTGCACTTTTAGTCTGGGTTTTCACTCCATAATGATCTCTAATAGTAATAGTTTTATGCATGACTCCTGAAGAGTGGATTTCCACTTTTGCACATAAGAGAGAGAGAGAGGGAGAGAGAGATAGAAAGAATGAAACCATCTAAGACTGAAACAAATTGATAAGTACTATGAAAGAAAAGAAAAGTTGCCTGTATTTAGAGTTTATAGAGGCATTCTTGGTTAATGACAAATAGGAACCTGCATTACTCTGACTATACTCAAAAGATTGGTAGTTATATACTAGTCTAACTATTTATTTATTTATTTATTCATTTATTTCTAATCTTTTGTCAGGGTAGCCCATTCACTATGACTGAATCAAATTGTTATCATCCAGCATAATGGAAACGGGATAGAGGCCCATCTTGAATCCGAAGGGTCTTTGGAAAAAAAATATAGGGGAAAAAAGAAAGGGTTGATCATTTGTTATAATATTATTGTATTATTTATAACATGTTTTAATATTATTATATTATTCATTACATGTTATAGTATTATTATATTATACATGTTATAATATTATCCATTACATGTTATAATATTATAATATTATACATGTTATAATATTATTACATTATTGATCAAACCCTTTTTACCCTGGGTAACAAGAAATATTATTATTAACAATATTCCTTGTTTACCCAGGATAGCCTCATCAGTACTCAAACTATTCTCGCTGAGGGCCCTGTATTATACTTTCAAATTTACCGACAGGGGTGACTCGGAACAAAAATGTCCATTATAGATTCATAATTTTCCGACAATCTGTAAAACTAGGCGTCAGATATTCGATTTTGCCAAGAGATGTTTAAAAAGTCCAACCAACGATGATGAATAAATACAAGCGACGCCTTTGTACCTTCAAGTATTTTGTAGGCTTCCTACGTTCAGGAGCGCTCTTTAAAAAAAAAATGAATGAAAAATAACGCTCAACGAATTCTTATTGCTCTTGACAGCGAGCTGGTCGTACGAGAAGGAGAGTATTGGCCAACGACGTCGATGATGACAGAAAGGTGTCTCGGTCTCGTCAAGCCCTCGATTCGGAGCTGGATAGTGACGACCATCAGCATGATGATGACGGTGTAAGGCGGAGAAATGATTATCCTGATTATCCGAATGGAGAAGTCATGCCCAAGGTTAACACGAACAGGGGAAATGTAGAAGAGAAGGGAGAAATAATAGACCACTTCGGTGATTTTGAGAATGGTAGGTCATGACGGTTGACGTCAGTATGACGGTCTTGATGTCACAAATCTATTTAGAATTGCAATAGACAAAAATATGAAGAGTTTACTAATGAAGGATATTATGAGCGTCAAAAACTTCAAGAGTAAAGTACGCATTATCAAAGATATCTAGCTCTTCAATCTTGTCAAATTTTCTGATAATCTGATAGCAAATTAATGCATCGCTAGTCCATTTTGTCCTTTGAATTTTTTGTAATTTTCATAGCTGTAACGCCATATACATTGTAATCTATAATTATCTCTATACCGTGCGAGTCAAAAAAAAAGTTTACACATAGCACTCACGCAAACAACGCCTCCTGTTCATCCAAGCGTGAACACATACCCCACAAAAATGATACCAAATGATTTGGGATAAAACACTCTTTTAAAAGATGTATAATAATTTACTGTTCGCAGATGATTCTTAAAGTAATTGGCAATTTTCTAGGTGTAAACTATTTTTTGACTTACACTGTATATAGGCCTCTATAATATCGACATGCATTCATCTACCTATCTATGTATCCGTCTATCTGACTTGTACCCTCCCATTTTGGACTAATTTTTGTTTTTAATTTTTAAAAGACAAACAGAATATGAAGTCGCAAGTGACACGTCGTCTTCCTCAGGCTTCATACCCACTTCATCACAAGCTTCCTGTTCAAAATGACAAGGACATCAATCACGAAGATGAAATCGTGATTGATCACTTCGACGAGAAAGGACTACCCGTCGTCGTCATAACAGAAGACAATCGTGATCAGCATGCCGAAATCGACACCAGCAAAGACTTCTACGTTTTCGGTGAAGAAGTTGGCGATAACATCCCCGACGCCAAAGCAAAAACTGAAAGCATCGTCTACGACTACGTTGACGGTTCGGACGTTTACGATGCCGGTGACGATGATGAAGGGGAGGGAGAGGAGGTGGTTATCGACTTGAAAGGGGGAAAGATTCATCCGGGAATCCAGACAATTTTCAGTAACCCTTGGGGCATTCAGCCAATTAAAACGATACCGAGACCTGTTGATGACATGGTGGATGATGACGACGAGGAGTACCTCAATGACGATGTCCAAGTGTATGGAGTTGGAGATCATCAGCAGGTGGAACCTAGATTTCGGCATTTAGGTAAATGCCTTTATCAGATATGAAACACACTGCATATAGTGTTAACCCTTTTCTCTATCGCTATCGTTAGTGTGTTGCTTTTACAGGCAAAAGTTATATGGGCATTTTGCTGGTCCATAATAATTATAGGGTACAATGAATGAATGGAAGCATGCAAAATTACATCGTATGTAAATTCCCCCACTAATTTGGTGTGCTTTAAATTCCAGTCCGGTTGTCATTTTGACAGGATCACGGGCATAGGCCTTTAATGATGTTTTTTTTTTTTCAAAGTGCAAAATACCCTCCTGAGCAATACTTGTGATTACCTTACTTTACATAATTATGTAATACGTATCGATTTTCCACCTATTTTTGGTTTTTACAATTTTCTATTTTTCTGAATTTTCTCTCCCTCACCCCCCCCCCCCCCCCCCCTCTCTCTCTCTCTCTCTCTCTCTCTTTCTCTCTCTCTATATATCTTCAGATCTGACCGGTATGGCCATCGAAACGGATGTCGGAGTCGACCAGTTCGGTGATCGTCAACCCGCACCTCGTTTGACATCAGCTTACCACACGGGCATCGCGTTGCCTGGACTTCTGACCAAAGATTTAGACGCACACAACTACTAATAAGAGAAAATGTTGAATAATATATGGAGGAAAAAAGTAGGCCTTATAATTTTCAGGAAAGCAAAATGTCATTGCACTCGATTGATGTCCAAGAAATCGGTGAAGAGTTTATAGTCAAAGACAAAAATAATAATTTTTAGAAAAAGATCGAATTGTTTGCCTCAGTTATTGATGGGGCATTAAGTAGGCATCTCTTGCTCGTATTTAATTATTAGGCGGTGTCACACAGAAAAATCCCTTTAAAAAAAGGGGGAGAATTTTCTTGCTTCGTTAGAGGATTTGTAATGGGATAATTGATGACAGACAGCAATTAAGAGGATAACTAAAATCCGGAGTTTTGGCCTCTGTGTGACACCGTTTAATTGTTTATTGGGAGTTTTGTGCGACAAGGCACAGGTGATAAGTCTGCAATAATCCAACCTCCTCTAGGATGTGATGTTGACTAGGAGGAAAAGAAATTCTGATGCAATGATGGGAAATAAACAGAACCACTTCTTATTAAAGAATAATTAAATTCATTATGCTTAGTCACATAATCCTAATCTACTTCAGTCTATCTCTGTTAATAAATTCGGCCATCCCGTTCACTCGAACACTTAAATTAAATTCACTTATATTGTTTATAATAACGTAAGAAAACTTCTGTATTGCGATATTCTGAAGGATTTCTATGTCAAAGTATATATATATATATATATATATATATAAAACTTTTCAACAAATTTCCAATATTAGACAATAAATTAAAATTAAAATTAAACATTAGACATTCACGCCCTTCTTTTCTTTCTTTTTTTTTTCTCCTTCAGAAGTCATAAAATGATAGACACGTTGTCACTCTCCAGACTAGTTCATTACATTTCATTGACCACAATTTGCAGGCCAAACCGGCCATATATTCCTCCGGAAATTCACACAGATATGATTTTTTTTTTTTTAATTACATTTTCATATTCGCTCACTCTCTTTATATATGGGTCCGTCCAGAAAGTTGGGGCACTTTTTGTAACATACCAGAAGTGAGAAACTATGTCTCCTATCAACTGTAACAATGTTTGATCAAATTGAGTTTTGCATAAAAAGCATAGCCAACTATCTTCAGAAGTGCTCAAGCTTCATGGTTAATCAATATTATGGACCCAAAGTTTATCTAATGTTATATGAATATGGTGTCCATGTAACGCTGGTAAAAAGAGAAATGTGTATTGAGCAAAGATTTTGAAGAAAAGCAACTGGAACGATTCTGGCAGGGCAGTACTATATATATTCATTGCATGAAAATCTTCAACAGATAATTTCATCTTCCATGTATATTGTAAAAGATCTCATACCTTTCCTTACATGGACACCGTCATATTTTTTGCCCCAACTTTATGGAATGACCTGTGTATGTGTCTCTCTCCACCTCTCTGCAACTTTCGATGAGACAACCGTTACATATCAAAACACAACCATTTTTTTTTGTTAAAGAGACATATTTTATAAATTGATATCTTGGCTGCTTATCCACAATAATATTTCAATCCTGCTACAAAATTTCCAAAAACAAACAGCAATTAAAATCAATCAAACATGGTAGTAAGATAAATTTTGGTGAAAGACACAAGATAATGGAAACATTGCATGATCTTCTTACACTGAGCAGTATTTTTCAACTGCTAATTTTAACTAATAGCTTCAACTTATAATTCTTGTAAAAAAAATGACCTATGTGCATTTAATTCAATGTGCATGTACCTAACGATGTGCTATTGTAAAGAAAAGTATTTAAAAGAAACTGGCTCATTTTTAATTTTGATTAAATCATTCGAAAATATGTCAGAAAAACTGATGATTTTATATCACGTGCAATTTACATAGAGAATACCAATATTCATTTATTGATCTGGTTTTCATTCATAAATTTTGCCAATTTACACAGATAAACTGCAATGATTGAATTATTATAATCACCTGTAAGTAATTTTTTTTAATAGACTTTGTGCTTAAGCTGCAATGATTGTCACATCTCTATTAGTATCGTATCTAACTGTTTGACCCAACATATATAAATATTCTATTTCTTAATCTGAGAATTAACCTTCCACATTTACATCTATTAGTATCGTATCTAATTGTTTGACCCAACATATATAAATATTCTATTTCTTAATCTGAGAATTTAACCTTCCACATTTATATAATACACCAATATTACATACAAAACTATATATAGAATACTCATTTATACACACTGGAAGGGAGAATAATCATGTTGTGCAAGAAATAACATTTCATATTCTTTTAAAATAAAACTGACACCTTTTGAATGCATACTAGTATATAATTTTTAGATAAGTAGAATTTATCACTCATATTACTTAATCCATACACAGAAAGTTATTTTGACTGATAAATCAAATTGGTCAGTATTTTAACAGATTTCTAACAAGGTTTTGGGATCTTAAGGTATATAATAATTTTTAAAAAGGTATTTTTATTTCATTCACACCCTTCACACTATGTGCATCAAGCTAACTTATGGAAATACGGCATAAAAATGTCGACCTACACTCTAAAGATATACACACAAGATTCATGGAAAACATTCATTCTGCTAAAAATTACAATCTGCATAATGCAACTAAAACATGAAGGTCACATAAACATTCAAAGAAGAACAAAGGCAGGGGAATACCTTACAGACCTTACCAATATACCATCTGCATATATATGAACACAGTGTACACACCTGTGTTCAATACAATAACACAGCCATAATATTAAGATACTTGATTCTTGAAACAATGTTTACACTATTTACTAAGAAGAGCCAGAACTTTACTTCCCTGCACAACATACATCAGATCAGAGTCAAACTTAACCAGGCAGGCTGACTAACATAAATCACAGTCTCAAAGGATATATCACATTAACCCTTGACCGTTTGGGGATAATTATGATTCACTCCTACGGCCCTGCAAATGTCCTTCACGGTCCGTCCAAAGCAGGGTGTTCCAAGTTGGAACATTAACTGAAAGGTGACAATTGACCGAAACTACAGTCAATGGACAGATAAGGACAATGCTTTATTAATTGCATTCAGTATGCGTAATAACCTATGCTTGCTCTGAAAAATTGCCAGATACACTTTCTCCTTTCTCAAGACTGAGCAAGTTAGAAAAGTACATACTGTACAATATCATATGTGAACTTAATTTTATTTGTTGCATGACACGTTAGCTCATTTGTAAACATATCAGTACCATAAAATTTAAGACATCACATTTAAAGGCATGCATTTCTTTTTTATCATACACTTTGGACTTGTTCAAAAAAATTGTTTAAAGAATTTAAAGCGAGCAAGAAAAAATGAAGGATCGGTTTTCTTCAATAAAAAAACAATGGAATGTAGTTGAGGTCAATATCGCAAAATAGCTCATGATTCACAATTAATGTAATTTCTAATCATCGTTTAGGTTAAAGGATAAACATCTCTTCACCAAAGTTATATGCATGCACACTAGAGTATGTTAGCCCAAGACTGATGTATTGTAGTCAATGGATTCTTATGATTCACTTAATCTTAATAAATACTCAACTTTACACAGTTTAATACAGTTTACCGTAGTTCCTCGATTTTATGTAAATACACATGTACAGACAGACATCTTGCGATTTTCTATTTTTTTTTTAAAGTAGCCCATCTCACACAGCAAGCATCTGGTACGTCATGTGAAAGAATAAACAAAAGGATTCCACAGTCCATTGTATGATACAGACAGAGCTAATTGGAGTGTAAGAATCATAAAGCAGATCAAGTACATCAAAACTTATTGCTCTATTTTTTATTTATTTTTTTAATATTTTTTAAACAGAAGCAGATGGTAAATATCAAGATATCTATCTACAACACACACACACAATGCAGATAGTACTGAAAATACCATGCTTCTATAGCCGCACAAAATGTTCAGTGTATAGAACCAGAAACATAGTTCATATATGGAACAAAAAGTGAGAAGAGAATGGACCAAGAATCCTACCACGGTGATACATGTACATGCAAATCAATTGCATCCCTTGAAGAACCCTAGTGCACTGTGCTCACCTTAGGACCTTGTTTCAACAAACTTGTTTTTTTTAACGATTGTTTACAAATAACAAGATGCAATAAATCATATTCTAAGCTTATACCAGGGCCCTGTCTCACAAAGATTTGAGAATACCCAGAATAAAACTGAAAACCCAATCAATCACATGACAGTAGAATAAGTATTACCTGTAAACAGAATTAGATGAATTGCAACTCTTCATATAATGATGCTATATTTCAAATGCAACAAAGCAACAATGCAGACAATGTATGAAATTAATCTGAGCTGAACATACGTCTGATACACAAATAAATCCAGGAGTGTTAAAGCCCCACTGCACTACTTATAGCTACTTGCACTAACAATGCATAATCGGTGCCTGTTGGTCCCCCATGATCCTCTTTTTCTTATGTTAATTGAGAGCTGATTTGATGAGATAACCACCTGTCAGTGACCTTGCAGGGAGGTCTAAACCCCCTGGCCAAACTAGTGCAGACGGGTTAACAGCCCAGGATATTCAGGGGAATAACCTGAAATAATGTATTTCATGCTGTCTATTTCAAACACCAGGGTGCTACAAAGCAATTTGCATGACATCTATCCTTGGATTTCTAGGACTACTAATGGTTAATTGCCTTATCGGGCAAATTTCATGCGAAAAAACTATAAACAACAAAAAAAATTAAAAAGTTTAAAAATTAAAAATGATCATCCTCTTCAAACACAAATTAAGTTGGCTAATGACATTATTTCTTATGAAGGGTTGAGGCAAATGAAGTAGGTGTAGGGGGAAACAATGTGTTCTTCTCTTCAAGCAGTTAAATAACAATTTTTGTAGCATCCTGAGCAAAAATTTACCTGCCCTAAAAGCCCACACAAAAGATTCATACAAATGCAACAACAAATATATGTATTTTTTTAAACAGGAAAATATAAAAATATATATATATCATTTATATGTTCATGGTCTTAACTTTACAAAACCAATACACTAAAATGATCATGAAATGAAAGATTGAAGCACAATACTAGTCTACGCTCTATTTGTATAATGTACATCTCTCTGGATATAATATTAATATCCAAAAGGAGCTATCTATAACTGGGGCCCTTTACTAAAGATGGCTGATTCTACATAGTATAATTATAGTAATATATTGTGTGTTGTTGTTGGCAATGCTGTGAGAGGTAGTGGTTCAAAATCACTAAAGAAGATTCAGTGATTACACAGCAAGTTATGCAGGAAAAAGAGGAATTACAAAGTACAAAATCAATGATGTTTCATTCCAGACAACCAGTGAATGAATATAGACTTAATTTCACACAGCGATAGAACACAGGATATTGGCCGTTGGCAGTAAGAAGGGCATTAACTCTGTGATAATATATGAGTTAACATCCTACTTGCTCGTAGCAGATGATATGTAAACAAATTGATTTCTTTTGATAAAATTAATCATTAAATGATGAACTGAAAATACAATAATACATATATCCAGTAGTGACAAAACTTTCACTTGAATATCACATAAATATGAAAATGGAAAACAATTTAATGAAGTAGATTACATTTAATGATATATAGTAGCAGTTAATACCCACAGACATACAGATTTTGTAAACATATAACTGGCTTTGTAAAGGAATGGGGGGTAAAAATACATGGAGGGGACTATAGAACAGAAGATGTAGCTAACATGTACATAACAAACGTGGAGGGAAAGACTTCATTTTCTCTGCAAAAACACAAAGGAACTGGTTAAATTTATCATAATATTTCTTAAGTTTATATTTTGCTATGATCACATGATGAATAGTTTAATTTGCAATACGTTGCAAAACCGAATAAATAAAAGACAAATTTGTTAGCATAGAATTTGTTTGCCACTTCCATATTAAGATAAGAAAAATACCTTGATAATAAGAAAGAAGATCTGGGTTTGAATAACACATTTTCAACATGTAAATGTTCTGCTTTTTTCTTTCTCAAGAAGTATTGCACTCTCTAGTCTCTATTATTGAAATATCTAAGAAGAACAGAACAGCTGAACACCTGGATAAACATGCAGCTACTATCAGTGAAGGCTCTAAAGGTCAAAAAAGGTTATATTTGTCCTACATTCCCATAAAATTAATTACGGTATTCAATTACAATGTCCAATACTGCCTGTAAATAATTGACAAGTTGAAGAATAAGGTTTTCTCTATGATGGCATCATCTTTGCAGATTATAATGGTTCCAGTTTGAAATTAGTTCCATTAACAACAACCTTAGGTGTGTCTTTTCGCAAAGGGAGTTACTAGAGGAAATGAAAAAAACTTTTTTATCATAGATTTGTTAACAGTATTGGAAGATGGTTGCTCCCCCATAGTGTTTTATCCATAGCTTGGTGATCATGCTGTTCCAGGGTTCTGTTGCATAAAACTTACCATTGATGGTAACTTTGCCATCAATATTAATAACCATGGCAACATCACTCATCAGCCAATCAAATAGAGGATGTCAAATGTTAATATTTCATAAACTTGATGAACAGTGGATAGGAAACCCAAATGTTGTGTAAGTACCTCCTATTAGTTAATATATCATATCATTAGTTTGTAGACTTATCAAAGAGTCCATAATATCCTTTAATCAAAATAGAAGTTCCCTGGAAATGTCACTGTTTAGAATCGATCTACATTCAATTAATAGGTGGTTGTTAATGACCCTTAACCTCACTGACCCCATAAATAGATTTACCATAATGGAATACCAACATAACACTGTCTTCTCTTTAATAACAGAGGAAGCTTCCTAAGTACAATTCTATTTTTCATACACAGTACATTGTGTTTCTTGTGCACAACAAACACATTTTAATATGACAGAATAACTAGTACGGCTATACTTCACCTATACAAAGGAAATCTTTCATTAACTGGCTACTACCCCATTACAGTGGATCTCTCCGTTGCTGTGTATAGTCTTGTTGAGTTCCAGGGTTCCGTCGATGTACTGCGTTAGCATACGGTCCAACCATGATACAGTGTTGGCCTTCAGGAAGCCCCCTTCGAAGAATCCAAGATGGCCGCCGTGCTTGGTGACGGCATAGATGGCGCTGGTGGACTTTTGGCTGAACTCCATAGGAGTCCAGTTCTGGGATACGGGGATGAGGGCATCGTCACCGGCATTCAGCATCAGAAGGGGGATTTCGATCTGTGGAAGAGGATGCAAATGGGCCTCGATCAGCAACCAATCTTTCACATAAGAACAGACTCCTGACCAATTCCCTGGTACCAATCAAGGGATTTATCATATAATATCTGGGCTAATCCACCTATTTCACCCCAACTTGCAAATCAATATCATGTAAAATGGTTTCTATTTTGCCAAAGCAGGGGGAAATTGTTTTTTTAGGTGGATCATGGATGCATAAAAAAATAGTGAATTAACAAAAAAATTGTATGTTTAGAGACAGAAGAGTATCATCATTTTTAAAGTTCTATAATGTTAAAGGTGAAGACTAAGGCTGTGCACAACAGTGTAATGAGGTACCCGAGTACACTCCCAGGCTTACAAGCGAATGATTAAATATTCGGACGCCATGTTTGTTTTTTGTTTTTTGTTTTATTTTTTTGTTTGTTGCCACCACCATACCACTGGAGCAGTATCCCAGTCCGTCGCCGAAAAGGCAGGCAATTTTACTTCGAGTTACAATTGAAGGCGCCGATTTAATAATAATAATAACAGTAAACAATGCTGTTTTAAAAACCAAAGCTGGCAGAATAATCCAAACAGATATCTGGACATTTGGTCCCAGTTTCTGAGTGGTGAGTTTGACAGTGCTTGAGTTGGGAAACATTTTTACCGATGGTACCATGCCAGCGGCCACCGCTCTCCCTGGCACGGGTAAGCGTTCATTTTGTGTTTTTTTTCCCGGCCGAATATTCGAGTACGAGAAATCGTAATCGAGTAGTTGTCGACAGTGCGGGTACTCGAGCATTCGACTACTCGTCGCAGCCCTAGTGAAGACCAGTTTTGGAAACGCCCCCCTCTCAAAAAATGAAATGGAAGCTCTTATTACCAATCATGTGAAAGAATATGTTTTGACTACTACGTGATGATACAAATTTTGCCGAGAAACCGCCTACTAATTTACATATTTGGTATTATTATATCTATTTGGACTGGATGGATATCGGGCACGTGTCGCGTAGTCCCATATACATGTACATCTTTCTGTGTACAGTGCTTGTAACTTTACCAAGACTGGGCCAAATTTCTTATTATTTTACTGACTCCAGAACCTTGCAGTACACACCAAAACTTATACGCTAGATGATCAACCTTTTCTGATCGATTCCACAACGTTTCTTTCACAATACAATCGCATGACCATAACTGGTCTTTATCTTTAAGGTATTATATGTATTAAACTCACCTTGAACATAAATGGGGAAGAACTGCAAGACTCGTAGAAATCTGAAAGACTGTTGTGGCCACACATTTTTCTGAAAGAAGTGTGAAAGAAAAGCATATTTGGGCAATCAGAATTAAAAACAGTGGTATCCATAGTGTATTTTTATTTTGTACTTTATTTTAAACAAAAAAATGTTGGAATGAAAAAGTTGTCATGAAATAGATCGAGGTTCAAAATGAATTCGATATTAAGGTTACATCTGTAAAGCCACATTCAAATATGCCCATTAACCATCCTGGAAAGGTAAAATTACATAAAGCATAGTGCGCTTCACGTGATGCGCATATCAGAAAATACACATATAACACACAAGTACTAAACCACTGATGTTAACCATTATTATGTGAAGAAGCAGGACATTGCTAAGAGAAGTTATACATTCTGATTACTATTATCATTAACAAAATTTGTGGACATGAACAAAAAAATACTACCAACTGATGTTACAGATGACATTATTCTAATTATGAATAATTGAAAAGTAATAAATGCCTTATTTCACATTAACTTAGGATTTTCAAAAAGAGAAATTTCACATGGAATTTATATATTTCCATGCAGTTTGGCAATCTTGTTACATAATCATGCAATTTGGCCAGCCAGCCAGACACCAACCTGTCTTCAACTCTGAAACTGAACAGATAGAGTGATTGTAGTGATCGTTACCATCTCTCAAAGCAGTTATTTACCTAGTCATCTCTTCGTCGAGGTGCACCAAACTGGTGGAACGGAACACCTTCTTGACGTTGTAGCACGGAGGAGCTTCACTTCGGTTCTTCCAGTAGGTCCGGGCACCTTCCCCAAAGAGCATGTCAAAGTTTTGACGCAGCTGACGAAGCATGTTCTGGGTCATCATGAAGTTGTAGAAGCGGCGCATGCTCTCCCACTCGTGTAAGACTTTAGAAGCTCTGTAAACATGAGCAGAAGGATTGATCGACGATCAGGAAGGAGCATTACAACAGATTTCTAATGAGCAGTGTAACAAATTCTCCATTCAATTTATGGAAAGCCTTATAAAAAATATAAAAAAAGCCACACTAAAAAAGTAAAAGTACACAAACACAATCATTAATCAAGCAATATTGACCAAACAAGGGAACTTTTCCAAAGTAAATTCTGTTTCAAACTAAACTGCCTATTTCTAGAGGACAAAGTTCCGAGCAGAACCATAGTCAACAAGGAATTGCTGGCGTTAAATTACAGTCTGTGCTTGCAGACTTCATCATAACTGGTTGTTGTTACAAAACTAGACTGAACTTGATAACCAGTTGACTACTGAATTCTTTCATGTGCATAGGCTTAATACAGGAGCTACCCGGTACTCGTAAGCAATGGGTTAAAATCTCAAACGATAAAAGCTAAAGTTCACTTACAAGGTAACATCATATCCTTGGCAGACAGAGATACAACACATAAAGTCGTCTTGCCTCGAAGGTTCTTCACCCAAGTACTTGATGACAATATTTGCTCCCATGCTGAAGCCTAACGATACAAACTTACTAGACGCAAAGTGTTCCTTGATGTAGTCTATCATGGCAGCGTACTCTCCAGTCTCTCCTGAACATCAAAAGAAATCATTATTATGTACTGGATTTATTTTTTCTTACTACAAGTTCTTTGATAATACAAGGCAAAACATGATTGCCAGCACGTTTCACTAATTTGTATTCATGTTTTATCTACTTCACTTTAAGCCCATTTCTCTCTGCAGAAATAAACATGTTACACAGGTTTTTTTTAATCATTCTCAGTCCAGCAAGTTCCATTAGTTGCTTATATTTTGCTTGGCTAAACAACCCAGCAGCATTTAAAAACTACCGTAGATCTCTTGAAATGCAATTTAACTACCTAAACTCAAGATTAGCTTGAATGTTTCTCTTAAGAATCCCTATGTAAAAACTCTTCAATGGCACCATCCACAACAATACCATTATCAAACATGAATAAATAAAAAAATAAATCAACACATATTTATTGCCCTTTGACATCATCTGCTCAAAACTATGTCAAAGGATATGAATTACCACGCTCATGGCTTCACGCAAACAATAAGAGCTTGTTCAGATATGATGCGGTAAACTCTAGCAAAATAAGCCGCCACGTTTTTTTTTAAGTAAATGAGTGGCGACTGCGTGTGACTAAGCTCCTGCACGTATTCACGGAGCTCTGTGTTGTAAGATACAGAAATGTGATGCGTATTACTTTTTATGTCATCAGAAAGCACGTTTTGCTGCTTCATATATAAACAAGGCTTAAAGAGAAGGTTGAGTTCTGGGAAGAGGTGAAAAATAATTTGTGAGCGTTATCATTCTTATTATGCAAGTGTGGCAGAACATCAGATAAGACATGTTCCCTGAAAAGCATGGCTCTTCAAATGCCTTTATATTCTAAATATGTCATGTAACTCGTAAAACTGGGGGGGGGGGGGGTAGGTTTTTTACGCCACGTGTTCGTGTAGTTCCACATACATCATTCTGTGTACAGTGTTTGTAACTTTACCAAGACTTGGCCAAATTTCTTATCATTTTGATGATTCCAGAACCTTGCAATACACACAAATTCTTATATGCTAGATGATCAACCTTTTCTGGTCGATTTCACACCGTTTCTTTCACAATGCAATCGCATGACCAGAACTCAACTTCATCTTTAATACCGTTCTTTACCGTAGGTGAAGATTCTTGGTGAAGTGAGTGGAACTGTAGGCAGGGCACCTAGGTGGTTAAGCATGGCCACGCGGAAGCCCTGTGACATGGCGTAATGGGTGAAGGTTCGCACGTAAGCCTTCTCAGAATGGTTGGCTATGCCAGGACAAACACACAGTGTGACATCAGCTACAGGGTCAAATAAAGAAGAGAGGAACAGAGTTGAGATGGTTAAATGTTTTTAAGGGGATCTTCATTGAGGGTGTAAAAAGTTCAGTTATTACACTTTGAAATAGATTTTTTTTAAATTTATGTTTTGTCCTGAAGCTATGTAATGTGCAAGTTATCACTTTCGTGAGAGAGATCACAAAATAGAAATTGAGAGGGGATGTCGGGTAAAACTGCCCAATCAAATTTTCTGTAGGCAATATTGTAAACAAAAATAATTAAATGACACATTTTTTTGCTTGTGTGAATTTGTTCATACTGCCTTTATTGAAATTCTTCTATCTAATTCTGTTTTAGTCGTTGTTTTCGCAAGTGTAAAAAATATTTGGCAAAGTTGTCAGAGAATTTTATTCTGACATCCAAAATAGTTTAAGAAATGCCCATGGAGATCCCTAATCCCACAATGCCTAGAAAACCTTCTTCCCTTTGTTCATACATAATATGTAAGCATGACAAACAGAATGCCTTTCCTCATAAAGAAACAAACTAATGATAATAATATAAAATAACAAAATAAAACAATACAATTATAGCTAAAGAAGAAATCTGGTAGACTTTTACTGATCTTTCATACCATCAAAAATGTTGTACAATAATATCCTCATGATACAGTCAAACCTGTCTATAGCGACCGCCCAAGGGAAACACAAAAAGTGGCCTTTGTAGACAGGTTCCTTTAGTACATGATTCAATGAGAAGCCATTTTCAAGGAAACAACAAATGTGGCCTTTGTAGACAGGTGGTCACTAAAGCAGGTTTGACTGTAATATCATAATATTCTACTCCTTACCCCCTTGAGGATGGGGTTTTGATGGCTCAAACAGATCAAAGGTAAACGTAGCTCCATCTGGCCGAGGTATATTAATACGTTTTCCCTTGGGATAGGGCGCGTTGAATCGACCGATCTTGGCGTAGATGAAGCTCTGAATGTGTGCGTTGTGACCCCATAACCGATTAGGCACATATCTAGGCAGAGAAACAGAAAAAAGGGTTGATTTCCTAGTAAAAATGCATCAAAACTACCGGTTCAGAGAAGACAATCATGAAATTCCCCTTTTTCCTCCAATTTCTTTGCTTCAACATCTCTTCATTTTTGTTATCAATAGTACAAACATGTGTAGGAGAAAAGTTGTATTGCTTTCATATTCTCATTTGATTTAGTAAGTGATCAAAATTTGTGTTCAACCCATGATAACCTCAAATACTGAAATCATGATAAACTATTCAAAGCATCAAGCACATACCTGTGTGACATAATACGCAGAAGAAGAAAAAAAAAATTAGGAAATAGAATTGCATATTGTGTATCATTACAAAGCATAATTGTGTATCATAACAAAACGTAATTGTATAAAATCCTCATTTCAGCTTGGTTAAAAGATCATTTAAAAGGATTATTCACCTCATTCAAATTTATGAATCTCAAATTATCTCATACACTTCAATCTTGATCGATGCAAATTGAAGCACTGCTCTTCCCCTTAGTGCTAGGAGAGTGTTCCATCTTGGAATCAAACTGCACTTCTCAACAGCATACAAGGGCAAGGGCAAGTCCAAGCTATTGTATCCTTCAAGTTACTGACCACTACAACTAAGATTTAAGTATAGAGATGATTAATAACCCTACTAGAACGTAGATCAGGGCCCCGTCTTACAAAGAGTTGATATCAATCGTAAGTTATTTGCGATTGATATCAATCGTAACTATGTACATAAGAGATAGGAGACTGCAAACTTGCGATTGATTGGAGGACTTACGATTGATTCGGATCAATCGTAACTCTTTGTAAGACGGGGCCCAGACCTAATAACAATAATAATAGTCACATTTCTTTAGTGCATAATAATGTTTCTGAGCACTTTACATTGTATTATTATTACCAGGTCATTTGATTTAATTGCTAGCCCGTACAATAATAATAATAATACTCAGTTTTTATATAGCGCTTATTAGAATCACTAAGCGCTTCCAAACTTGGAGATTATTACCCCGGCTTTAGCTGTGCTGCCAATAGTGCAACGATCCACCCTCTTTAAGAAGTGAATTGACATATTACCCCTTGAATGTCAATTCATATACAAAATTCAAAAAACCTAGTTACCTATGGGACACAATGTTAATTATTAAATAGTACCTTGGACTTGCCCGCTATAGGATACCTGTGGACTTTGGACTGAACATCAATTTTAGCAACTTACGGCTTTGTGAGGATGGAACATAATGAGAGGATACTGCGGTTATATTTTCCCTCTCTGTAATGGAGGGTAGCAGCAGCGGGCTGATCCAGCAGCTTTAACACTTTGAAGAGGAAGAAGTATAAGAAGACAAGGATGAATGCTGTAGATAACAAGATCCCCATGGTGGACTACATGTGAAGGAATATCACCACTCGATATGTCTGAGGAATAGAAAGAGGGAGAAAAGAAAGAAATAATTAACCATGTAGTAGCTATGTACAGAGCTTTATTTCAATATACTTTTGCATACAGTATGCAGTGGCTAATAATTGTATGTTTGGTTTTAAACTAACCTTGAGCAGATGTTAAATTAAATTAGATTTTGAGAGAAAGGGTTGTAAATAATGAATCGTTTGTTATGCATAGCAAATTATACAGCTTTGTTAATATAAATTACACTGTACTTTACTTCTAGTAAATGTTCACTGCAATTACCCATGATATTATAGCTAATACCCTGGGGTGGTATTCTGAGATTAATTTCATCTCAGACAAAATACCCTTTAAAAAAATGTTATCAATTTCTGAGAATCATTTCAGTGAGATTTTATATCATCAAGACATGCCCAACTACCATGGGATATATAATAAGAAATTTCATTAGATTTCACTCTCATCCTGTTCAGCCAATGGAATCACTTTCTACCAGTCCTCCTCCTTTTTTTTCCAATTCAACTTCAATTTATTTATGTTTCCAACAAAACATTATAATTCAATTATGAACATTTATAACAATTTAGGAATACATATTGGAAACAGAGAGGCCCACTAAAAAAGCAATGCTTGTACGAGTGCGGACACCTCATATGATATTTAGGAATAATGAGTAATTATTGAATTAACAAGTGTGTAACTACAAAAGAACCTACAAAATAAGGAGGGAAAGGGGATGCCAACTGAGAGAGCACGAATGTCTTACTTTTACAATACTCACTATGCTTGCCCCAAAGTGCAACACACTTTTACCGGGATTTTCTTTTAAAATGACAGAGGTACATGTAGGTTCAGAGCCTTTCGGACGCCAATATCATTATTGTAACTACAATATATGTCACCAAAATTGGTTGTAATTCAACACGATAATCCCATGAGAATGCTGCCTAAGAAATATACTCAATACTGATTGAATACTCAGTATTATTTTGTTTATTTTGATTGCACTGCTAGCTGTATACTCATCCAAAACTGTTGCACTAATCGTGCGTCCAAAAAATAAAATAGCACCTACCCTATTTTTAAGTCTTATTTTATCTTTAACATAAAACAACTTTGGCATTAGCATTAGTGCTGCATGTATTGCGCTTTTAACTCTTATAGGCATGCAAGAAGATTAAAATAAAATTACAATCTAAGAAAAAAAGTGGTCTCGGACTATCGGACGCCATTTTAGAGATAAAAATCGTGCCCAGAATACTGCCCCCTGTATTTAATAAAACATTTCTCTCCACTACTGTAGCAGCAAATGGTTTACATCTCCAATGACTCAAGCATTAATCACGTTGGAGACAAAGTCTAACTGATTAACTGGCCCAAACATACCATTCTATGACCTGATCAAATATTTAAACACTGACCTAAACAAAAGGATTTATCAATTACGTCATGCATGATGTCCAGGATAGTATGCCAGATTTTAAGTACAGGTAAACATAATATAGCTGGCAAATGAGTGAGGGGATACATTTAAAATACAATATGTTGGAACTGATGGCTCCTCAGTCCTAAGATCTGTGATAACTAACATCATATTTTCGTTATGGTATTGTGGTCAAGTGGATAAGTCTCTGAACTGTGAACCACAAGGTACTAGGTTCAAATCCCTGTCGCAGGACTAATGTCCTTTGACAAGACATTAATCAAGATTTGCCACACTTGTCCTAGGTGAGGTAAATGGGTACCAGGAAGGATTATTTTTTTATAATGCTCGAGCACTATGATGGCAGCCATTCTAAAGTCGGGGTAATAAAATGGAGCGCCAGGAGTGACAACGTGCCAGACATGAGCGCTATAAAAGACTCCACTACTAAAGTTATTATGATCATTATTATCTCCTGCTCTGAGAATTGAACAACAATAAATTGCAGTAGTGTTACTTTACTAGAGAATACTCTTTTTGATTTCATGGTGAAAATCTCCTGCTCTACTACTGCCAACATCAACAAACTCATTTCCTTCCTCAGCTACAAGAGGGAAGCACATAGCCAGAATCTTTTTTGTTTTTTAACAGAAACAAAATCACAAAAGTTTGGAATAAATACCTTAAATGCCAAATTTCCTGAATTTGCAGTTTAACTGGTCACCAAAGAAGAACGCCTTCTCAAAACAAGGTGCTGGAAAGAGATGATCTAATTTATCCTTTGGATATTTTGGATGACATATTGCTACAGAATTAGGTGTGGCAGTAGGTCAATTGATCATAAATGACCTATGAGTGTCCCTAGATAATTCTATATCAGGAGATCAGGACAAGACATGAAGAAACACTACAAAAAGAAACTGACGATGCTTGAAATCCCCTATTGTTCTGTCCAGGGACGTTGGCTTGTATACAATCTATAAAACTCGGAAAAGCATAATAGAAAATTCTTTTTCCTGACCCTTTTGCTTCCATCTTTCATGTATTCCAACTAAGTAATTGCAAGTAAGAAGAACCGAAAACTTGTTTACTTACTAGCAATTGCATAGCTACATGTACATTTCTATTCAAATTTCAAATTAAAAGGAAAGGTTTAGTTTTACTTCTTGTATTCAAAGGCTAATCAGTTTAACACATGCATCTATTTGAAGACAAAAATTGTACAAACTGTAAATTTTCAGGAAAATGCAGAATAAATTATTCTACGATTTCTTCTTCATTCACATTAAGACCCAAGGTTTCTGTTCTTATTGAGAGTGAGTTACTAATATTTGGAACCACTTACAGTACAAGTACATAGTACATACCTATAACTAGAGCACTTTGAAGCTGTTTGCTTCAATGTGATGAAGTTGTGAGCCTGTGAGGCGCTATTTGCCACTTAACTTTCAGAGGAGTGAATGTCTTTTGCTTTTGTCTAGCTTTTTAATTTTGGTGGGGGGAGGGGGATTAAACGGGGAGCTGTGTGGGGATACACGCCAGCTCTGCAAGAGTTATGCTGACTAGTGACTACATCTCTGTTATCACCTTCCAAAGTATAAGAATCATTTGATTATTTGATTTTGACTTGCTGCATGTTCTATTCATGAATAAATCATAATACCTGTACATAATCACAGAAGATATGAGGAATAATAATTCTTGCTCTTACACACAAAAATACACAACTTACATTTCAATGTTGAAAGGGAAGGAACCGTAAGTGGAGCATGCCTTTCGAGAAAAAAAAAATCTCTGAATAAATCCCTCAAAAAATCCTCCCAACGAAACAAGACAATTCTCCCTTGAAAGGATTTTTCAAGGGTTTTTTTCTGTCTGACACCAGTGTTGAAATAATCCCCTTTAAGGTCAGTGTAATCACACTGACCTAGCTTAAAGGGGATTGACTTGACTGCATGTTCTATTCATGAATAAATCATAATACCTGTACATAATCACAGAAGATATGAGAATAATAATTCTTGCTCTTACACACAAAAATACACAACTTACATTTCAATGTTGAAAGGGAAGGAACCGTAAGTGGAGCATGCCTTTCGAGAAAAAAAAAATCTCTGAATAAATCCCTCAAAAAATCCTCCCAACGAAACAAGACAATTCTCCCTTGAAAGGATTTTTTCAAGGGTTTTTTTTCTGTCTGACACCAGTGTTGAAATAATCCCCTATAAGGTCAGTGTATCACACTGACCTAGCTTAAAGGGGATTATTGTGACTAGGTCAATGATTGGCTGGCATGTTTTTTTAACGCGCTTTCATACATGCGCACAAATATATTAGCGGGCATTGAACGAGACTTGTTAATTGGGCATTACTTTTGATTGAACGTGAGATGTCACAATGCTTATCTAATATCTACCTAACGGCGCATGCGCACTGGCCCATCAATTATCCACTCCAGCATCAGCAAAGCATAGGTCTAGAGAGTCCATGCTATCATTAAATGCGTATTGACCTCTAGCACTGCACTACGTGTTAATAGGCGGCATTTTAATACATGAATAGTCAATACACTCACAACACGCAAATGCACACAATCATGCCGATGCGCCTAATCTGCACAGTTGACAGTGTCTAGACTCACATTCACAATTTGAATTTTTTAATTATTTTTTCTAACATCGGAAAGTTGAAAAAAATGTATTTTACTGCTATTTAGGTGTCATCAATTGTCACTAAAGTACCGATTTTTAGTAAAATTAGTTGAGTTTTGTACAGTGGTGTTTGAAATGTTGAGCTTTTATTACATGGCCAGTGAGCCAGGATAGTAATGCACCTAGATCTAGACCTAGGCCTATCAATATCATGTGTGCAATTATCTAGATAGACTAGACCTCTAGACTATTTATCCAGATTATTCGTAGCCCGTCTATCACCGACGTAAATTAATTAGCCTAGTCTATCTAGATTTCTAAGATCTAGTTTATTCAAGATGGGTCAGGATATTTCTGTCTGACACCGCCTAATGAGTGGCAACACATAGATCTACCATACCGTCTACGTTACATTTACATCAATGGCATGGCAATACTTGGTCTTGGGGCCTACTAATAGTAATAGTAGCTTTACTCGTGCAATGCTTTCGCACTGCCACGGTACAGTACAGTGTCAGCTCAGACCCTTCAGTGCAGTGGTAGGTAAAACCTGTCTTGCCAGCCTTGCCTTTGACAATAAGTTACGTTTCTCCAACTTTACCTTAGCAAGTTACATTAATTTCATAAAACTTAGCCTGCATTTTCCGAAGACAAGATATACCTTACCAGTGCATAAATTATCCTCCTTATCTTCAACTCCGGTGACAGGTTAGCCGGTATTCTCGACATGTACTTCACACGTACGGAGTAGTTCGGGGGCGGGCGGCGCGGGCGGCGAGGGCGCTTGGCATGCAGCGCTAGCGCGCGCGCCTCAGCTAGCTCAGTATTATGATCGCGCATATCATTTTGGGTCGTCATGAGCGCAGCGCATGCATGCTATGACTTTGTTGGTGTGCTTGTTGTTATTTTGTGATTCGGCATTTTGTATTCATTAGGAGTCTTACGCCTTTAACTTTTTTGTAATTTATTTTGTATGATAAGATTTTGGTTCATGCTCTTTGCATTTTTGTTGGTCATTCACAGCGGCATTTTGAAATTCGGGTGGATAGTGATTCTTTACAATTTTGATATATTTGGATGCCCTTTTTTTTCTTCATCCATTCCCCCTTTTTCGTCTTTTCCCCCTTTAAAAGGAAAACAATAATGATCACACTTATGAATATTTAATGTGAGTTAAGTAGGAGACCAACAGATAATGTCCATTGCACTTTGGTCAATAAATAAATTGACCATATTACGCAACAAAAAGGGGTAGGCCTAGAAATCCTAAAAAAATCTGGATTGAAGTATATCTTTATTTCAGAGCTTAGAATGAAAATGATCAGAATCGAAGAAATAAAACAAATAAATTATGATCATTTAATTTTCCTAATCGACTATCAGAGTACATTTGAAACAAATCGGTAAAACTCCATGTAATATGTTGCACAATTACAATTATGTATGAGAAAAAATAGGGGTCAAATATAAATAGGCTCTCATGAGCCTGGCTACCGCTAGGTACCACAAAATAAGAGAACATAAAGGATAAACGGGAATGTATTTGTGAACATAAATGACTTTAAATTTAGAAGCCGGATGTGTCAATGGAACACAACTGGGACAGGGGCGGAACAAAGGGATCACCGGGGTCCTGACCCCCTTTCATGTTTTTCATAACTGAGGAGGGAAGTTGGGAATAATCTTACCACGGGGGGGGGGGGGGGGGGGGGGGGTCAGGCGCGGATCCAGGATTTCTTGGGGGGGCCATATTTGAAATTATTCGAGGCAAATATTGTTACGTAATGGTGACCAGCAATTGCGTAATGGGGGGGGGTGCAAGGAGGGGCAATTTCCCCCTCCCTCCTCCGCAAAGCGCGGAAACGTTTACGTTTCATTAAATCATGATAGAATTAAGAAGACGATTCGTTGTACCGTTCTCGACTCTTAATCCTCGTCTGGATTAAGTCCCCCCCCCCCCCCCCCCCTCCTGCGCGAAGCGCGGCAGCTTTTACGTTTCTCTAAAATTTTACGCTTGTCTAAATTCAGTTCCCCCATCTCCTGCGCGAAGCGCGGAAGCTTTTACGTTTCATTAAATCATTAGAGAAAGAAGACGATTCGCTGTACCGTTTTTTACTCTTAATCCTCGTCTGGATTCAGTCCTCCCCCCCCCCCCTCCTGCGCGAAGCGCGGAAGCTTTCAAGTTTCATTAAAATTATTAAGAAAGAAAACGATTCATTGTACCGTTCTCGACTCCTAATCCTCGTCTGGATTCAGTCCCCCCCCCCCCCCCCCCTCCTGCGCGAAGCGCGGAAGCTTTCACGTTTCTTTAAAATTATTAAAGAAAGAAGACGATTCGCTGTACCGTTCTCGACTCTTAATCCTCGTCTGCATTCAGTCCCCCCCCCCCCCCCTCCTGCGCGAAGCCCGGAAGCTTTTACGTTTCATTAAAATTATTAAAGAAAGAAGAAGATTCGCTGTACCGTTCTCGACTCCTAATCCTTGTCTAAACTCTATTCCCCCACCTCCTGCGCGAAGCGCGGAAGCTTTGACATTTCATTAAATCATTAGAGAAAGAAGGCGGTTTGTTCTCGACTCTTAATCCTCGTCTGAATTCAGTTTCCCCCTCCTGCGCGAAGTGCGGAAGTTTTGACGTTTCATTAAATCATTAGAGAAAGAAGAAGATCATATTACTATCTCGACTGTTAATCCTTGTCTGAATTCAGCCCCCCCCCCCTCCTGCGCAAAGCGCGGAAGCTTTGACGTTTCATTAAATTATGAGAGAAAGAAGAAGATTGGGGGAGCTGGAGGCTCCCGTTCCCCGCTGCTCCGCAGGTTCTGACATGTAGGCATCTCAAGAAGCATATTTCTTGCCTGGTTGTCAATTTACAGCAAACGCATAAAAAGTATAATTTACAAAAAAAAATGAGGAAAAATCTCGGAAAATTATGCCATTTGAGCATTATGTGTAAACCACCGTTAAAAAATTAGAAATAAACCACGTTTGAATTTCATTTTCCCCGAGCCCCCTCCCTGATCAGTACGCCAGTGCCCCGCCCCCTCCCCCCCCCCCCCCCCAATCTACACTTTGTTGGCGGAAAAATCGCAACTGATCTACCCTACCTTTCTTCTTTCTCTTTTATTTCTTTCCCTTTCTCTCCACTTTACCTTTCCCTTCCTTTCCATCTCTCTCTCTTTTAGGTTTGCTGGGGAGGGGGGGGGGGAGACGCAAGGTCCTTTCGGCCCCACCCATCTCCACACGTTGTTGGCGGGATTAACCGCAAATGATCTATTTCCCCTTCTTTTCACCCTTTTTTTTCTTCTTCCTCTTTTTCGGTCTCTTGTAGCTCTCCTCTTTTCCTTTTCCTTCCTTGTCTCTTTTTTCTTAGCGGGGGCGGGGGGAGGCAAGGGCCTTTTGCCCCACCCCAACCCCGAACTTGTTGGCGGGAAATTGCAACTGATACCCCCCTCCTTTTCTTTCTTCTTCCTCAATTTTCCTCCCCTTTAGCTCTTATTTTTTTTTTATTGGAGGGGGGGGGGGGAGGCAACAGCCTGGGAGGCAAGGCCCCTTCGCCCCCTATCTCCTTCTTCCCCTATTCTTTTCTTCTTTCTCCTCTTTCTTTCCCTTCTTTTCCCCCTCTCTCTCTCTCTCTCTCTCTCTCTCTCTCTCTCTCTTCGCGAAGGGGGGAGGGGGGAGGAACGCTTAAAAAAAAAAAATTAAAAAAAAATATTTCCCCTTTTTCCCCCCTTTTTTTCCCTTCTTTTTTGTTATCCTTCTTTTTTCTTCCCAGGGGGGAGGCCGAGCCCCCTGGCCCACTGGATCCGCCACTGGGGGGGGGGGGGGTTGTCACACCAACCAAACTTCCAGCAAGTCCAAAAGAAAGGTCTTTTCAAAACTAACAAAAAGGGTTTAACAAAAATTATTTGCGGAAGCAATTATTTTGTTATGTGTCCAAGTCTGCCGACCAGATATCGATTCGCAAACAGGAGTTTAAATGTATATTTTAGATAATAGGCTCTGAGTATCACCCCGCCGACAAACGCACACAAGGCTTCTGATAACGACGCTGAATGTTACTGCTGTAAAATCTGTCACCATTTGATTTACTATCGTAATCGTTTCATTGTATTTTTATTGGATATATTGGTGCCCCCCCCCCCCCCCAAAAAAAAAAAAAAAAAAAAAAAACCAGACTGATCCACCCCTATGCCATGTAGTGATGGCTTATCAGAGCAAGGGACATGCCCCCTGACAAATAGGGAAAAGAGAAATATAAAATACAAAAGAGGAAAAGACATCGAGAGAAAGGGAGAGAGGGAGAGAGGGGGGAGGGGGGAGAGGGGGAGAGAGAAAGAGAGAGAGAGAGAAAAGAGAAGAGAGAAGGAAATTGAAATTAAAAACACTGACATGAGCGCTATACAAGAACCCACTATTATTATTATTATTATGAGAGGGATACGGTTTCAATTTTAACTACTAGTAAGTAAGACAGATGCCCGTTCCCTTCATGACAAAAATGCCCTATATGCCCCTCGATGGTTATATAGATTTACCCATGGGTTCCCCAATCCTGCGGTTCAAAGGGTATTCATTTTAAGGGACAAAACCTACCCGGCGTAGCCGCTTTAACAAAAAATGCAGATTTGCAGACCTTAAGTACACACACAAACGCAACAACAACAACGACAGCAGCAGCAGCAGCAGCAGCAACGACAACCAAAAACGCCACTTTTTCACGTTTTCATCACAAGGGTAGCCTTAAAATGTGATCTTTCATTTCTCCTGAATTCTTTACTCGAAATCAATTCATTATGATTGCGATCCTTTCCAGAGCTTTTGATAAAAAGACGAAATAAAACAACACAAATCAAAACAAAACATTTACGGCTATTATTCATTATTATAGGCCTATACATGGCTTTGATTTTTCAAATTGAACATAATCGCAAAGACGTTCAAGTGATCAACTTAAGGGCCATGCCTAATGTATATCAAATTGAAATCAAGTCCGGATTAAGTTCGCACATTTCAATATAGATGGTGGACAAGGCCATGCATGAAAATCGCTTCAGATTGTTTTTTTCGAGAGTCTTTGCGATCAAGTTGTTGAAATAATATTTTACAGTCTCTACCATCCAGTGGCATATCCAGAAATACCACAGTAGGCAGGTTATACGGTATAGTGGTGTTGAGGGTAATCCTCATAGGGATGTAATGGATCCTTGACAGGCCCAAGTGATGTAGGATAATAATAAAAGACCAATGTGTATGGTGAATCGATATCGAGTTGCTAAAGTAAACTGCACGGGCACAATGGTATGTCACTGGGCTCATCGTAAATATAATAAATGTATCAAAAACTAGAATAATAATTATGTCTGAGAAAATATTTCCTCAATTAATGAGGTATCAGGAAATATTTGTTTACAGGCATATAATTATTATATGCCTGTAAGTTATCTTCAGTTTACACCTGGGCCCCGTCTATAATTTAAAGTTGCAATCGATCCAAATCAATCGCAAGTCCCCCAATCAATTGCAAGTTTGCAGTCTCCTATCTCGTATGAACATAAGTATTTGCGATTGATATATATATTAATATATTCTTTTGTCATGTGTAAATTTGCAATATTTTTTTGTTATATATTTGTAAAAATGCAAAAGAAAAAGAAAATCAAACAGAAACAAATAAATCAAATCAAATCAAATCAAATCAAATCAAATCAATCGCAAATTAGTTTTGATTAATATTCACTCTGTATAAGACGGGGCCCTGGCCTACAAACAGCGGGAGGGGGGCGCGACCTGGGCATAGTTTACGTGTCTGCTTCATCTTATTTTGCTGGCAACATCACTGAGTAAACACCTAATCAAGGGGGGTATTATCTCATAGAACATTACGGCGAGGCATCTTCTTCCACAGTTTATCCTGTCATTTAGGCCTAATAATCTGTTCAGAGCCAGGGGGACCTTTACTCAAATTATTTCAACACAATGCATAATAATGTCAACGCCCTTTTGGCTCTCAACATACGCGTGTAATTCATTATTATCTAAATTTCACCGTTTTTACTTTGCAAACTACAGAATGGATGTTAACACTCAAACATGCCAAAGAAACAATATCCGCAGAAAACAAGGTAAAACAAATTTGTGTCACCAAATTGAGCGGGAAGTTGCTCATTTATTTTGGGGCGATTACGACGAAAACGAAAAATCAAACAATGACAGTTTGATCTACATTAACAAAATGAAGTGAAGGTTAAATTTAAATAGTGCAGAGGCCAGATAATAATAATACACGGTCCTTCGAGTATTTTTGGATTGTTTTGCAGTTCCTTTCTCCCTAATAGAACACGACAAAAGACCAATGTGTATGGTGAATTGATATCGAGTTGCCAAAGTAAACTGCACGGGCACAATGGTAGATCACTGGGCTCATCGTAAATATAATAAATGTATATCTTTTAACACATCCCACAAAAACTAGAATAATACTTATGTCTGAGAAAATATTTCCTCAATTAATGAGGTATCGGAAATTATTTTTTTACAGGCCTCTAATGTGATGTTAAAAATCAAACAAATCTATACATTGTTTAAACAATGACTTTCCCAGAATATTGCATCATTTTCACGTCAAAGTTGGAAATGATAATTATGCTTGCTGTGTATACTACTGCGTTTATGGTATTGTCGGTTAAAAGACACAAACTATGATACATGACTGTTATCGTCTCCTCGTGGTTTGTGTTTTCAAATGACCCAATGAAGAACTCCCATTTATGCCCCCCAAAATAAGAGCAATAACAAAATGGAAATCAACCACGGTCAACCTGTAAGTCTGTGGAATTGCACAAAAAATGACCAAACACTAATGCACAGTCATGCTGATTATATAACTTAAATAAAGAAAGTGATATTTACATGAACGTATATAATTCCGAGGCATAATAGTACTTCGTATGCCCAATGATGCCAAAACATTACAGTGCGTTTAGAATGCAAGGTGAGTACAATATTACTTCAGAATTGTAACATAAGAGTTTAAGGTTTGTCATGACTCTTTGTCCCCCCATTCAATTTTTCTGGTAAGTACGCCTTTGAGCATAATAGTAATATTGACTACAGGAGTGTGCATAATTTATTACGAAGTGATGATATAATGCTGTAAATATGCAGTACTATGTTTATCTACAAGTCCTTCTTCGTTGCATTGCACTCCTTGATGACGACAATATTATTTCGTCGATGCGGGCGTTGAAGTCGACAGTGAAGATCACCGTGCTGGTCATCGAACCACGCGTGCTACTCGGCGATGTTGGCGTCGAGAGCATCGGGGCACTGTTTCGTGCACAAGCTGCCGCCTTCGGAAATAAGGCGCTGGCCGACGGGGCAAAAGCATCCTGGATAGCACATGCGATTGCACCTGGGCATTGGTTTTCCACATGTTAAGACCTCACACGCCCCGCAGCTATTGTAGACAAGATCATCCGGGCATCCTCGTCTGCGAGATGGGTCCTTCTCCTTGGGCTTCCGTCTACCCTCACAGGCTGACCAAAACAAAAAGAGAATTAAGAAATATGATTAAATATAATTATTTAAAAACCCTGATCCACACGCTCTGGCAAAAATTGAGCACCTTTATTAATTGGATTTTCATCAATAATGAACCTATAATTAAATTCGAATGGATCTTATGAGGACTGTTATAAAAGATACGTTAATGAGATCTGAAGATAAATCGTGTACGGAGAAGGAAATGAGATAAAAGAGAGAGAGAGACAGAGAGAGAGAGAGAGAGAGAGAGAGAAAGAGAGAGAGATATATATAAAGAAAGAGAGAGAGAGAGGGGGGGGGCAATGGATGAACTGGGTGTTAACTAATTAGCTCGGTGACAAGAATTCCAGGCAAGAATCATAGCACAGGAAAAAATGACCGGGGAAAACACGTGACAGTAATAATTGTAGGCCTATGGACACAGGCTCTGCAGACCATTACTCCTATCAATATCCTGCACTCACCGAATTTCTAACTTCGAACCTAGACTAAACACCCTATAAATATAAGCAATATCATAAACCTTAAACCTAACCTAAAAGCCACTCGCAACCCCTCTTGCAACCCTAACCCTATATAAATAAAGCCCAAAGCAACAATCAACTACTGTATCACATGCTAATGAGATGCTGAGATGCTGCCCTTTTTTTGGGGGGGGGGGGGGGAGTGGTATTTTGTTTTACTTGTTTGTTTGATTTTTGTTATTATGGAGAGAAGGCAGGCAGGATGGGGGGAAAAATCAATATTATCAACAAAACACACAATTCTAACTTATGAATTATATAATATTATGTAACTTTATGATTTTTCATTTGTTATTTTGATTTTATGCAACAAAGAAGCCTTAGGAGGGTGGATTCTAGTAAATCTTGTAATTAGTTTATGTAGGCTAATTGGCAAAGACACATTTTGTCATCCATTTTGAAAAGTCAAAAAGTCTTTGAAAAAAAAAAGTGAGTCTCGTCTCATCCTGCCCTAGCTCTGTGGGGCACTTACATCACAAAGGCGTATCCAGAATTTTGTCAAAGTAGGAGGGGCACAAAATTAAAAGTACACGTTTAAAGGAGAACATTTTTGTATGCATATAGTGTTCATAAACCTTTAGCAGTCGAGTAATAAGATATAATGAATCATATCAAAAATTAAAAATTAAAGCAAAAGTTTTTATTTTTCTGCTCCCATTTCAAGAACCGGAAAAAGAATTCAACAAAATGTACACAGGTCACTTGGCACGTATGCAGCCAAGATAACCCCCTCCCCCCCCCCCCCCCCCCAGCTCGGAAGTTCCGCCCGGCCCCTTTTAACAAAATTCAATTTTAATTGCACCTCTGAAGTTTTTTTTCTCATGTGAAATTGCGCCTTGATGCAGGAGCCTCACAATAGGCAATCAAAATCTTCTTAAGCACACCATAATATCGTTACTATATAGCAACAAATAAATCTAAATCTAAATCACCAACGACAACTCGGCTAAACATGGCCTAGAATTTGTTTACTTTGTCATTGAGTATCAAGGCAACCGGAAGGAAGGCTGTGATTTGATGATGTAATGGATGTACAAAACAGCGATTTGGCACTTCCTGCAACTCACCGGAAGATGTTTAGTGTATTGTACACTCACAATGAAACAAAACAAACCAAACAAACGAAACGAAACGAAACAAAACAAAAGCAAACAACATAAAAGATGACGACACTGCATATAACCGGAAATAGTTTGCTCAAAAGAGTACATCTATAAATATAATCAAAACCACCGTACCCTCTGTATATCAATACATTCTGGCAGAGGGATAATATTCTGTAAAAAAAATGGTATAACAAATTTTATGGAAACAATTTGCCATATTGGATCATCGATGCAATTTGATAAATCAATGATTCATTTTGATTTCCCAATTTTTAAGAAATTTGAAACTGAAAGAGATGCATAAATCCAGAACAACGTGAATCTCATTAAGATTTACATAACATTTTGTGGGGAAAATGAAGTTCAGATTTGATAACAATATCTATAATAATATGAAAAAATACACAGTCTGTCAGAAGAAACACTGGTATTCTATGTGTGAAAAATGTTGCCATTTGAACATCTGTCACTGCAATGACGAACAGTCATATCTTGTAGACTTGATCAGATAGGGCCTATAATCTAACAATAATTACGGTCGGTATAAAATAAAGTCGTGTCGACTACTAATTTTCACTTCGTTAAAAACTTATTTAAGACTACTTTGTGAAAGTGATTCATTATACTTACTAATGAAAGAAAGGATAAATGAACACTTTATACACGTATGCAGGCATAAAGTCTATTTATTCTATTTTGTGTAGAACAAATGCTGTAAGCTAGAAAAACTTCTTTCCCACATTCCATTGGCATGGTAGGTATTCTTTCGACGGCTACCCTCAATAATTAGGGCATGACTGCCATTCGGAAAATACATGTACATTTCTTAAGGCCTACCTGCAGACAGCTGAAGCTGTCGTACTTATCAAAATCTACTTTGTTATCGGGAACTCACGAGTAACGAATCGTTGATTTTATTTCAAATACACACATATATAATTATATACACTCATCTCCGCATTCTTATCCGATGGAAAACACACAGAACGTTGAATTAAATATACATACCACTTAACAGTAGCCCGATGAGAACAACCATGATCAATGCACGCTGAACTGTCTTTTCCATCTTCTATAAGATCTCTGGAATTTTAGAGGAGAATCCTGATTGAATATTTCAGATATTCACAAGCGAATGGAAGCGTTGTTGGTCAAGAAGTAACTTGTTTGACAGCAGACTACTTCACAATGAATGACGAGTGCGATGCCACCCCATTGATATAATATGCGACCTCAATGAGCGTACGTCATGCCCGTACAGAGATAAGAGTTATACCTTTCGGATGATTGTGTGAGGCCGCCGCACTTTTTGAGAGCTTTACTTCCTTAACACTTCACTCTGTAGTTAGGGAGCTAAAATGCAATTTACAAGAGACACTTTCGGTTGCTGTTTTTCTAACTGTAAATGATTGTAGCAACCCGATTGTTTGTGTTATGATTAAGGACCTGTATTTTGCAGATGAGGTCTTAGTTTCGGTGATACTGGGTAATCAGTGTATGACTATTTATTTGAGATTATAGGAAACTATGTAATCAAACGATACTCAGTGGGTGTGTTTATAGCTACGTCTATATAGGTTTGCGATATACATCTTAATTTTGCATAGAATAGGAGTGAAACAAAAGTTGCCCATCATTGACAGAATTGATTATTATTGATATAAGGCTTCCAAGTGGTACAATAAATCAATGTATTTAATATTTTAGCGCAGTACCCGGATGACAGATCAATATAGTTTTCGCATTGCTCTGTCATCCGGGAAATCCAACTGTCGAAAATGTTGATATTTTCACTAGTCAGCCTGATAATATAGTGAATGATCATAATAATATTATATGGCTTTGTTTTCGTTTGATACAAGAATAAGAATGTAATGCATCTCGCTATGACAATTCTTGTATCACACTCAAAGCCATCCAATATTAAATAAATATTGATAAAAATTGATTTTAATAGGCCTACGTGGTTAAGAAAAATACATGATAATTATGTATGTACCACAATTTTTAGAACGCATTTGCAAACAATAATTAATATTTTCTATATCATTATCACAAATTTATTCTCAACAAGCGTCCATGATATTTAGCAAATTTTTGTTTAGAAGTTAAAGCTGTCAGTAATCATGTTCTTTATTCAAACTATAATTATGTAAGTACTCTCTGTGCCATAAATGAATATAGAATTAGAATTGATAAGACACCTGACAAAACGTATAATACAGCTAAGTTTCGAAACTGCCCCATAATTCATACACATGTTTGACAAAATTAATTAATTAAATCAATCTTGCTTCCCTTTGGTAGGATTCTCACAATCTAAAGATGTATCAGTTATCTGTACAGTGGCGTGTCTACGGTGATACCAGGGCACCTATCCGCTCCCAGCGGAGGGAATGTGACAAGAAGATACGCTACGGCGGCCCTCCTCCACTATACCCCGATACAGGTGCCCTTCCCCCCCCCCCCCCCGTCTCCATGATACCAATGCCTTTAAACCTCCAGACCCACTCTACGCTGCTATGTCAGTACATGTATCATGTTGTATACATTTATTTATTTTTTAAAGCAGAAAACTAAGATTTTTTTGTTCCATACATTCACCTACCTCATCTAGATTTGAGTATATCTGAATAATATAGTTGTAAGTTGTAACTGTTAATAGCATCACCAGAGAGCTTAGATGAGGTCATATGAAGTGAAATGACAGATTTGATGTCAGTTTCCGTCCGTCTACCTCTTTTCCTAAAAGCATGGCGTGATTTGTGTACGTGATTTGTGAACATTTTCACATAAAGATACAAATATGTTATATAATGATTATCAGCCTATACAGCCATACAAGATGATGATATGCTCCTTACGAAACAACTTTCAGTGAATGGGGAAATCAGTACACACACTTAAATTTGCGGAAAAAACCAATTCGTACCTCCAGGTTTGTTAAAATTTTTGGTTAACAAATAAAAATATCGGAATATCTCGAATCTGTGACCATTATGCTACAAAAAAAAATATCGTGTTGTATAAACTACTTCCGTGGACCGATTTCGCTGTTGTGTAATTTCCCCATAAAACTACTGATTCCTGGAAACCTCTAAACAGCAAAATCATTGCATACAATCATGATAATAATTATTCTGTGAAAAAACTATTGTTTGAAACAAAGCCAAGTGCCAAGCAATGCAGACATGCCTTGTGTATTTCCTATATTATATTTAATTCCTAGTATATTCTAATGATTCGTTCATGCTGACAACAGCAGGGTTATAATTTAAATTAATGTGCACACTAAATTAATAAAAATGTATATACGAACTGTAGAACATTAGACTCATACATTTTATTTAAAAAAATCAAATCTAAGCAGCTTTATAATTATGATAGCTATTATATGAATAAAGAATATAATGAATTGATATTGTACTAAGAAATAGAGAAAGAGAGAGAGAGAGAAAGTGACGGGAGAAGGATTACAAAAAAACGTAACGATAAGATGACAGGACCCCATCCAACGCCCCCTCGCATAGTTAGGGGCATCGTTATATAGTTTACACCTAATATTAATAAGACCTCGAGGTGCTCCCCTCTCTCCCTCCCTCCCCTTGTAATAATTGCCCCTCAATGTCTTTTTATCACTTTGGGAGGAAGTCTCACGCACGATCAGTGAATAAGACGACTTAAACCAAAATACTAAGATACGTAGTAGAAGACGTGAAGATAATATACCTCCTCATCCACACTACTTCAGTGTGGGGTTTGACATTATACGTATGTTCAGTTACCATGGCAATAATTGTTAATTAGGCAAAGCGGTTATATAGCGCTAATTTAATCGTTCCATTTTTAATAATTAATAATAATTATATATACCATCTGTATTGTATCTGTAAAATACAGTTGGGACGAGTCGTATGTATTCACAGGATTGTATAAATTGATTCCATGACATGTCGCAGGGGGATCTTTTTTTATTACTGTTATATAATCGTATAACAGAAAGACAGAAATTCGATCAAAATAACCTCCTTTTTCAAATCCTTCTCAATATCTAGAGTCTTATTGTTATTGGAAAAACAAGGGAAATTATGACAGAAATAATTTGTTTTCCATAATTATTAACTGCAGGCTAATTGATATTATAATCTTCATTCGACGCATGGTATACGGCCTTTATCCAAATATATTAATTTTCTGACCGCATCCCCTCCGGGTTTGATGGCCGTGAACGTAATCATAATCATCATTCTCAGAAATATTAATAATGTCTTACCCGCGTTAACTCTTCCATTACCATGATGTCCATCCAAAACACCTGCATGGAAATTGAAGACGTGAAAGTCTTTCACTATAATGATATTTCTATAGGTGTTCTATTGAGATAACAACAAAAACTAGATTAGAAAATATGAAACATTCGATCTGATGTATATATACCCAAGGACACAATTTAGCTGAGGGGAAAGTCGTCTCTTGCCAGAATAATCAGTCTTCTAATTTCCATATGGAACTACTGCTGGCTAATAATTTTATCTCAATAGTATACAAGACAAGAATTTAGAAAAAAGTAATCACAACATCTCCATGCCTTTTGTTGTCCAGATACAGAATAAAGGATGCTTCAAAAATGAGGCCGTACCCCCTTATGTTTGTTAAATATAATTGTATGTAGCTCTGTCGTTGCCAGATTGAGGCACAGGGGGGACCTGTGCCTCAATCTGGCAACAACAGAGCTACATACAATTATATTTAACAAACAAATTATCCCTAATCTGTGCCTCTGTGTGTCTGTCCGTCTGTCTGTCTCTGTCTGTCTTTCCCTCTCTCTCTCTCTCTCTCTCTCTCCACTCTCTCTCTCTCTCTCTCTCACTCTCTCTCCTCTCTCTCTCTCTCTTTCTCTCTCTCTCTCTCTCTCTCTCTCTCTCTCTCTCTCTCTCCCCCTCTCCCACCGTCTACCCTTGCATCATCCCTCCAGATATAAAAGTAATTAGTTCGACCATCAGTCATCTTGCAAAACGTCTTCGTGATTCTAGGTTGGGGTACAAACAAAATGAAATTTCTTCGTCTCAGATTACTATTTATCACTCTATTTTGCTGATAATATTATTTCGCTTACGAAACAACACTCTCCTTTGGCATTTAGAGGGTTAATCTATTAAGTATGCACTGGCTCGATTCGAAATGGTTCTACTCTGATGGCGGTCACTCAAGCCGTCATTCGAGTATATGGGATAAGATTAGGGACTTTTATGAAAGAAGTGGTTAATCTGACCATCTGACCCAGTCATCAGGAGTCCTTCATGGAAATAACAAATACGGAATTGTCAAATATATAAATCCTTCATCATTATCCCCAGGAAAGCTGAATATAGAGAGCTTAGCCTGCAAGAATGCCATCAAAGTGACTCGGTAACATTGTCGAAGGTTGATAAAAAAAACTGCATTATTTTTGTATGAAATGTTATATACTTATATATATATTATATATATTATATTCCTTCTACTGTAACTGTACTAACCATCTAACATGCAAAAAAAAAGAAAAAAAACCAAAGATATTTATGGTTTTATTTGAAGGTGTAACTGTGCGACACCCTCTAATAGTAAATTCTCCCAACCATTTTTGAATTTATCCAACCATTTTTCCATAAGACAATACATAAGATAGGCTTTTAAAAAAACTTTCAAAACTTTTCAAAATGTCTGGATTGGTATATAGAGTCAATTCATTGCTATGTGACGATTTACATTCACCTAAAATGTAATTCAATTTTAATAATATAGTTTGGAGAATGAGGAATCGATCAGATCCGTTTTTCCAAATTTTTAACATTAATAATGGTCTGTTTTCACTCAAACATTCAGATTATCTCTAATAATTGTACATGTAGCATTGAAGTCACTACCTAAGCACTATTTGTCTCTCAACTAAACAATGTTACCAAGGCCCTTTAAGTCCACTGGAAATGCATAGCTCTCTCCAGTGGTGTACGCAGGATTTTTTTCAAGGGGGGGGGGGGGGTTAACATTTTTAAATCGGGCCAAAAAATTTCGCAACGACTCAGCAAGCCGCTGAATAAGCGGGGGGGGGGGGGGTAAGAGGGCATATATTTTGGTCCCGAAATTTGAAAATTTGACCAATCAACATTTCGTTTTTTCGTTTCCTTTTTGGGGGGTCAGCTATTAGCATAATTTTTTTTTTTTTTTTTTTAAAGGGGGGGGGGGTTCATCCAAAACACACACATAAACACGCATGGCTCTCTCATGGTCTTC